CAAGTACTGAACTATTCAACTTTTGATATTCGCTCCTCAACTATTGAACTGTTTAACTATTCAACTTTTGATATTCTCTTTTCAACTAATCAGCTTTTGATATTCGCTCTTCGACTATTCAACTGTTCAGCTTTCGATATTCGCTCTTCATCTATTCAACTGTTCAACTTTTGATATTCGCTCTGCGACCATTCATTTGTTCAACTGTAAGAGAAGAAAGTATGGGTTTTTAAACTCTAATGACCAATATTGATAGCCATAGATCTTCAAAATTAAAAGAGATTTTCTTCTAGAAAATACATCAGTACATAGTACAACTTGTCTACTTTAAACTAATATAAAAGTGAAAATGAACCCTCGCTAGTTAATTTAATTTTAGTTCGCAAAGTTGACAGAATATAGGATGAGCACTACTTCTTTTGGACATGTAATAAACGAATATTTAGATCAAATGTGGATGACAAGAGATTTTAACAAAACTTTACAATAAAAATAGGGATCAAACATTGGAAAAAGCAGAATGTCCACGTTTAGCTAACGCACACTTAGAACAAAAAACCTAACGATGAACAATCCTTTGAAATAGAAAATTTCTTCTTTTCTATAAAACGAAATGAAGCTCTGTGCAGATATATAGGAGAAGAACAATGAAACGAAAGAAAAGTGATCGCAGTGTGTTTGATGATCATCGTAGAATATACTGTGCTATACCATGAAATACTCTAATGGTGCCATAGGGTTCAAAAAATAGAAGCGTCCCACCGAGATCTTTGCGCCGTAAAACGTAACTCGACACGTTGATTAAAATGATGTATACCTCGAAATCTACAACTACATCTGGAAGTATTATCGTCAAAACCGCATTTAAAAGTCTAAAATCTGAAAGTGTAAAAGCTTAAAAGTCTTAATGTCGAAAGGTAGAAATGTCTGGATGTCTAACAGTCTAAGAAGACCTTAGATTTTTCTACTCTCAGACTTGGAGACATTGAGATTTTCAGATATATAAACATTGTGACTTTTAGATCTTTGAGCCTTTCAGGTTTTTAAGATTTTAGGCCTTTACATTGTTAGATTTTTAGACTTTCACCATTCAAACTTTACACGTTAGAACTTTTAGTTTTTAGACTTTGAGACTTATAGATATTAAGACTATTATTTCTTTGACTCAGTGTTCTTCGCTTCGATTAATGGACATATTGGTTAAACAGATACGAAAGTAGTGTTTTTCTATTTTCTTTTCAGAACTTTCGTTTCGTTTCTTTTTTTGTCTTCTACAATACCTAGTCAGAGACAATTTCAGCAATGAAAAGTCAAACATATCACCGGAAAAAAAATAAAGTTGGTTTAGAGTTGCTGAAAAGTGGTTTTTCGTATTCATCACACTCGATAATCCAGAAGATTTTCTATTTTTGGCTCGGGGTACTTCCGAAAGTTTTCAAATTAATATCATTTTTCCATGGAAAACTTTTTGCGCCATTTTGTTTCAAAATTTTTCTTAAACTTTCGGAAGTACCCCGAGTCAAAAATAGAAGATCTTCTGGGTTAGCGAGTGTGATGAATACGAAAAATCACTTTTCAGCAACTCTAAACCAACTTTATTTTTTTTATTCCGGTGATATGCAATATGAATCGAACATACGTCATTTAACTTTTTTCGTCTTTTCTGATTTTCTTCTCCGGTACAGGCATGTTTTTCTTCGAATTTTTCTATTTCATGTAATACGTTCTTGATGAGAGTGACAGTACGGAAGTACAGTTATATTGGTTATGACAATTGCAAGAGAAGACAAAAAAGGACAACGCATTTTTAATTTTATTTTTCTTCGATGAACGCTTTTGACTGGGCTCAACATTTGAAGAGAAGAATAAAATGATTGTTTAAATGTATTTATAGCACTTTTCTCTTCTGTTTAACCGAAATGTTTGTCCATAGAACCGAACGACACTGAATCCGAAAAGTTTGATGTTTATTTAAGTTTTCACAAATGGTAACATACATAGAACATCTGTCCGATGAACTAATCTTGGAAATATTTGAATATGTAAAGTCACATATATTGTTTGGTACTTTTTATAACTTGAACAAACGTTTCAATTCAATATTAAATGATGTTCATTTATCTATTGATTTAAAATATAATATGTCAAAAGCTCTGTTTGATCAATATTGTCATAAAATATTGAACCATAAACAACGATGTCAACAAATATTTTATCTCAAATTATTCAATACGAGTACATTTGGTCAACTTGAATTCTTTATGAAAAATTGTTGTATAGAATCTTTCACTCATTTACGGTCATTAATCACTATTAACGCATCATTGGCTGATTTGAAAGTAATTGCATCGAAATTGAAATATTTAAAATATTTGTATTATGTCAGTGTTAAACGACTTGAATCAAGTACTTCTTTAGAAGAGGAGGAACATTATATTTATAATACAATATTCACACATAAATCGTTGAAAAAATGTTCATTATTAGGGTTCGGTAGTATGATTGGACGCATTCATCGTGATATGACATCAGCTTTGGAATATGTATCAGTTGACGTGCATGACAAACATGATCTGGTCAATTTAATTTATTCGTTACCAAAAATCAAACGATTAGCAGTTAGATGTGATTCTACATCATCTAATAGGCTTGTTCTTCGACATCCATTCATTCCATTTGGTCCTAGTCTGAGATATTTTCATTTGGCTGTTGGAGAGATTCTTTTTGAGGAGGTTTGCTTATTAGTAAAAGAATTTCATCAAATACAAGAATTTTCTTTCTTTAGTGAAAGTAGTGACTTTCTTAATGCCTCTCGTTGGCAAAATCTTTTATCAACTAAGCCGTTCTTAATTAAATTCAGATTGCATGTTAATGTATCTAATGTTCAGTCATCAATTATCACTCCTTTGCTAGCTTCATTTCATACTGAATATTGGCTAACACGAAAATGGTACATGGCCTGTTATTATAATGAAATCACATGCCATTTGGCATTCTACTCGTTTCCTTATCGTCGTCGTCATATAAAAGTGGCATGTTTTATACAAACAGCTACCACATGCAATAACGAATTCTTAGCACTGTAAGTTGAAGATTTTCTGTAGGAAAGCAGTGTCTAGAATTGATTTACATATTGATTTTTGATGCAACATTATAAGCAGAACAGAAATTGAAAATCAGTTATTCAAAATTCTAGAGGATATGATTTATCCCTAGTAGAATCCGCGCTTCATTGCGCGTCGCGAAGCCATAGTAATCTTGTCACAATCTTGCCGCGCAATACCCAATTTGAATCGCGATCGCTATCGCGGACGCACATATTCGTGAATTTTGCGCGTTCCGCGAAAAAATTCGTGATTGTGTCCGGAAAC